TTGAGATGCGTCTTTTCAAAAGCAATGAGTTCTCCTCGTAGTTCATCATAGGATAATTTGTTTAGATCTTGAGATTCCAATGTGACTACTTTGGTCTGCCAAGTGGTTGGCAAACTCCTAAGAATTTTTCTGACTTGATCACCACTAGTGTAAGGCTTGCCAAACGCCTTTAGATCGCTAATTATTTTGCTAAACCTGACAAACATCTTTTCAATGGATTCTCCTTCTTTCATTGAGAAGAGTTCGCAATCATGGACCGGCATGTTGATATGTGTTTCCTTTACTTTGTTGGTTCCTTCATAAGTGACCTCAAGCTTGTCCCACATTTCTTTGGTTGTGTCACAACTTGAGATTTTCTCATATTCTTCACCACTTATAGCGTTATGAAGCAGATTTCTCGCTTTGTTGTTAACTTGTACCACTTCCATTTGCTCTTTTGTTTATGAATCTATATCTTCAGGATCAGCAAGTGGTGGAGTGGCAGCTAGTAAGGGATAGTTTCCCTTTTTGATGACTCTCCAGACTTTGACGTCATAAGCTTTGGCAAAGATTTCCATTCGCACTTTCCAGTGGGAGAAATGTTGTCCATTGAAGTATGGTGGTCTAACTTGTGAAGTTCCTTCCTGAAAGAGAGCTCCTATGATAACTTGATTTGCCATGATCTTTTCTCACAAGCTGTTAAGCAAAAGTAAAATGTGAGCCTTGCTCTGATACCAATTGAAAGTACAAGAGGGGGGTTTGTAAATATTTAAACTTAATCGCTTATTAGTCGACTAATTAATCTAGTAGTCGACTAGATATAATAACTTAACAGTTATAATGACAGAAAGTAAATTGCAGAAGGTAAATGCAGGAATTAAAGACATCAGGATTTTATACTCGTTCGGATTCAATGTGAATCCTAGTCCAGTCCCCTTGGGTTGCAAGGGAGTTCTCTTTTAGTAAATGTATTTCTCCGAGTACAGTTGAAGTGAATTGAAAATATCGTTTCTCTAGCACTCGTTTCTTTTTATACAATGCCTCACCAGTGTTATACTCTCCTTTTTTTTCTCTGACTTGTTACGCAGCAGATCTTAGTGAACTACAATGTTTGTTTGTAGTAGAATAAAGAGAGTGGTTTTTGGTTCGATCAAAGTATATTTGACTAGGGTTTAAGGCTGGGTATAAATACTTTGATAAAGGTCGAGGCTTGACAACCCAAGAGATTTGATCCTTGGAAAGAGATTGATTCTTTCCAAGAATAAGGTAGCTGGCCGTTGCTTTCCCTTGATTTCCTTCCTTCAGCAGATGTATGTACTTGCTCCTTGATTGTTGGTTCTTCCGAAATTTGTCGCGTACCAATCTTTACAGAATCTTTGATCTTCCGGGATGCTGGCCTTGATTCGTGCCTTAAGTTTAGGCTTGCTTGATTCTCTCCATCGCAGCTGGCCGTTACTCGTTGCTGATTGATTGGCTGATTGGATTCTTTCCTTAGTTATCCAGATTTGCTGATTGTATTGCAGTCTTTGTTGATTGATTTCTTTCCTTAGGCATCAGGATTGACTCCAGCAGTCGTGTAGTATCTTTTTGATTCCTTGTAATTGATTTCCTGCATATGTATATTATTTTCATCATTAAAACTGGATCTAACAAGCTCTAGTGTTAGTTTTGCCATCAGTTTCGGGTTGTTATACAGTATATTGTGATGCTTCTCGGGTCGGTATCGGGTGTGTGTTGATGCAGGAGGGTAGAGTGATTGCTTATGCTTCCCGTCAGTTGAAGCCCCATGAGAAGAACTACCATGTTCATGATTTGGAGTTGGCTGCCATTGTTCACGCGTTGAATATATAGAGGCATTATCTCTATGGTGTGTCTTGTGAGGTGTTTGCTGATCATCGTAGCCTCCAATACTTTTTCAAGCAGAACGATCTCAATTTGAGGCAGCGGAGATGGTTAGAGCTGCTAAAGGACTATGATATTACTATCTTGTACCATCCGGGAAAGGCCAATGTAGTGGTCGATGTCTTGAGTAAGAAGGCAGTGAGTATGGGCAGTTTGGCATATATTCCTGTTGGGGAGAGACCTCTTGCAGTTGATTTTCAGGCCTTGGCCAATCGGTTTGTGAGGTTGGATATTTCAGAGCCCAGTTGGATCTTAGCTTATGTGGTTTCTCGGTCTTGCTTGTTTGATCGTATCAGAGAGCGCCAATATGATGATCCTCATTTGCTTGTCCTCAACGACAAAGTTCAGCACGACAATTCCAGAGATGTGGCTATTGGTGATCACAAGGTATTGAGGATTCAGGGCTGGATATGTATGCCAAATGTAGATGGGCTTCGGGAGTTGATTCTAGAGGAGACCCATAGCTCGCAGTATTCCATCCATACGGGTGCCGCGAAGATGTACCAGGATTTAAGACAGCACTATTGGTGGAGGAGAATGAAGAAGAATATAATGGGGTTTGTAGCTTGGTGTCTCAATTGTCAGCAAGTAAAATATGAGCATCAGAGACCGGGTGACTTGCTTCAGCAGATGGATATTCCAGAGTGGAAGTGAGAGCGGATCACCTTGGATTTCGTAGTTGGACTCCCATGAACTTTGAGGAATTTTGATGGTATTTGGGTGATTGTGGATCGGCTGACCAAGTCTAAGTACTTTATTCCTGTGTGTACTACCTATTCTTCAGACCGGTTAGCTGAGATTTATATCCAAGAGATTGTCGCCTGCATGGTGTCCCGGTTTCCATCATTCAGACAAAAGTACTCAGTTTACATCGTAGTTTAAGAGGGTCGTGCAGTGAGAGTTGGGTACTCAAGTTGAGTTGAGCACAGCTTTTCACCCTCAGACAGACGGGTAGTCCGAGCGCACTATTCAAATATTGGAGGACATGTTGCGCGCTTGTGTCATTGATTTTGAAGGTTCATGGGACCAGTTTCTGCCGCTCGCGGAGTTTGCATATAACAATAGTTAGCAGTCGAGTATTCAGATGGCTCCATATGAGGCTTTATATGGGAGACAATGTAGATCTCCAGTAGGTTGGTTTGAGTCGGGTGAGGCCAGGCTTTTGGGTACAGACTTGGTACAGGATACTTTGGACAAGGTGAAGGTGATTCAGGAGCGACTTCGTACAGCACAGTCGAGACAAAAGAGTTATGCGGACAGAAAGGTTCGGGATGTGTCTTATATGGTTGGGAGAAGGTTCTACTGAAGGTTTCACCCATGGAGGGTGTTATGAGATTTGGAAAGAAGGACAAGTTGAGCCCTCGGTTCATTGGGCCTTTTGAGGTGCTTCGGAGGATTGGGGGGTGGCTTATGAGCTTGCGTTGCCACCTAGCTTGTCGGGTGTACATCCGGTATTTCATGTTTCAATGCTCCGAAAGTATATCGGCGATCCATCTCATGTTTTGGATTTCAACACGGTTCAGTTAGACAGTGATTTGACTTATGATATGGAGCCAGTGGCTATTTTGGGCGGCAGGTCAGAAAGTTGAGATCAAAGGATATAGCTTCAGTAAAAATGCAGTGGAGAGGTTGGCCCGTGGAGGAGGCTACTTGGGAGACCGAACGGGAGATGCGGAGCAGATATCCACACTATTTGAGGCTTCAGGTATGTTTCTAGACTCGTTCGATGACGAACGTTTGTTTAAGAGGGGGAGGATGTAACGACCCGGCCGGTCATTCGTGATTTATAGCCCTGTTTCCCCCATTTCTGCTTCTTTATCTGTTCCTTAGCGGTATTTCATCGTATTCGGGTCCGGAGTGGTTTCGGTGTGGAATGAGGCACTTAGTCTCTTATTTAGAAGTTTAAGTTGGAAAAGTCAATCGGATGTTGACTTATGTGTAAATGATCTCGGATGAAAATTCTGATGGTTCGATTAGCTCCGTTAGGTGATTTTGGACTTGGGAGCGCGTCCGGAATGTGATTTGGAGGTCCGTGGTAGAATTAGGCTTGAATTGGCGAAATTGAAAATTTAGCGATTCTCGGTCGGCAGTGGAAATTTTGATATCGGGGTCGGAAAGGAATTCCGGAAATTGGAGTGGGTCCGTAGTGTCATTTTGTGACGTGTGTGAAAAATTTCAGGTCATTCAGACGAGGTTTGATAGGTTTTGGCATCGTTTGCGGAATTCGAAAGTTTAGAAGTTCTTAGCCTTGAATCCGAGGGTGATATGGTGTTTCGATGTTGTTTTGGGTGTTCTGAAGGTTCGACTAAGTTTGAATGTTGATATATGACTTGTTGGAATATTTGGTAGAGGTCCCAAAGGCCTCGAGTTGATTTCGGGTGGTTGACGGATCAAGGATGGGATTGAGGAGTTGCTGAAGATTTTTATTCAGCTGTCATAACCGCACCTGCGGAGTGGGGACCGCAGGTGCGGGCCCGCAGAAGCGAAGGAAGGGCCGCAGATGTGGCCAAGGTTGAGAAGGACAGGAACCGCAGGTGCGATGAGGGGAGCGCACCTGCGAGGTCGCAGATGCGAGTGAAGGACCGCAGAAGCGGTTTTGGGTGGATAAGTGAAATCCGCAGGTGCGACGTTTGGACCGCAGGTGCGGTAGCGCAGATGCATGAATTTGGGCTGCAGGTGCGAGATGCCTGGGCAGAAGGTATAAAAGGAACCCTTTGCACAAGTGATTAGGTGAATATTAGAGGATTTGCACAAGGAACCCTTAGACACTTGGACCGCAGGTGAGGAGAGATTCTTGTCTATTTTCTTGTTTCATATTGTTATTTTGATTTAGTTTCTTAACAATTAATTAACTATTATTAAGTGAATAAAATAGCGAAAACTACACATATAGTGAGGAAGACGTTCCAATTGGTTAAAGAAGGGTAAAAGATTGTGACATTCACCACAATATTTTGCATTTCTTATTCAACTTTATTAATTCATAGGTTACCTTTTTTTGTTTGGGGGGGGAGGGGTTTGGGGGGGGGGGAGTTGCAGGTGATTAGTGTGAATATTGGGGGGGGGGGGGGGGGGTAGGTTGCAAGTGATTTGGTGAATATTAGAGGCGTAGAGCCGCTACACATCAGTGCCCAGCCCACAACTGCCCATTAATCTTTACGACTTCACATCAAAAAAGAAAAGAAAGAAAAAGGAAAACAATAAATAAGAAAAATGTTTATGAGGGTTTAAGAAAGAGAAAAAGGGGAATGCTAAAAACTCTATAACCGGTGACAACAAGACGACGGCAAGAAGAAGAAGAAGAAGCAGTAGCAGCCAAGTGACAGTGAGCCATGGTCTCAGCAGCCACCTGGATCCGATACGTTGTCAGCAAACTTGAATACTCCGCCTCTGTTGGCTGGAAGGTTGTTTACTCTCCTTTTTTCTTATAATGTAACAATTGATTATTTACATACTATTATTCTAGGTTTGAATCAGTACATGGATTTTGTAGATACAGCAAATATGTCTAAAAGATTAGTAGGTCTTTCTGGAGAAAGCTATTAACTTATAATTTTTGGGGAATTAGAGGGCTCCCAGGTTTTTAGAATAAAGGTTCTTTTCTTTTCTCTAGTTTTCCTGTGCAAAATAAATAAATAAAACATAAATCTGTCTTTTGACATGATTTTCTTCAAAACAACAGGCTTCACAGAAAATTTAATGTTAGCTGTGGAACTTTCATAAAATGCAACAACAACAACAACAACAACCCAATGTAATCTCACGAGTGGGGTCTAGGAGGGTAGTATGTACACAGCTACCCCAACCCTAGAATGGAACTGTTTCCGATAGACCCTCGGCTAAAGAAAAGATGAAATAGCAATACAAGATATTTAGAAAACTAAATCCAAGATAGCAAAAGAGAATATGAAAGAAGTACTGATAGCAAATAACAGTGTTATCAAAGGCGAAAAGCGCAAAAAACCTCTAAGGTCCGTTGGGGCTTTAAGCGCAAAGCGCAAATAAAGCGTGGGCTTTAATGAAAAAAGGCGCAATTGGAGAAAAGTAAAAATATGTATATGTAGTCCAAGACTAATAATTATAAGCATGAATAACAAATATATGGACAAAGAAATTATTTTTTTTTTTTACTATATAAGTGAAATATCAATTGTTTAATGTCGCCTTTTTAGGATTACATTCATTGGCAAGAAAAAGTATGCCTTAGAGCCTTGATGCGACACTAAAGCACCCACAAAGCGAGGCGAAACACTCAACATGTTTTGAACCTCGCTTTACGGCTTAAGCGTGCTTTAAGCGCGTCTTTGACAACATTGGCAAAGAATTACAGTACAAGATATGTATTGATAGCAAACGAAGGGAGTACTGCTGGCAAGTAATAACAGTACAAGATATGTGGTAATAGCAAGCTAATGATAAAAGGGATACCACACTAACACTAATACTATTACTATTGAACTAAGGAAGACAAATGGAAACGCTCGACTATCTACTAATTTTCTACCCTAATTCGCAACCTCCACACCCTCCTATCAAGGGTCATATCCTCGGTTAGCTCAAGCTGCGCCATGTCTCGCCTGATTATCTCTTCCCAAGGCTTCTTTGGCCTACCTCTACCCTTCCTCTTACCCCCAAGGCCAACCTTTGACACCTCCTGACTGGGGCATCTGTTCTACTCCTTCTAACATGGCTGAACCATCTTAGCCTCACCTCTCGCATCTTGTCTTCCACCGGGGCCACTCCCACCTTGTCCCGAATAACATCATTCCGACTTCATAAAATGCAAAAAAAGAATATTCATCAGTGTTAGTTCAGAGTTCTGATATTAAAATATGGGAACCTAATGCAACTTTCGTATTGAAAGCTTGCAACTTTAGTAAATTTTTTGAAGCTCTTGCAAGAATGTGTCCGGGAATAGAAAAAAGCTATAGCCAAGCTGGTTTGTTTGTATTTCACACCAAGAGGCCCCTTCTCAGGTTAATTATTAGCGGTGCTGCTTTTTACCCAAGTGATCCTCCTCTTCCTTAGGTTCTTGGCTCTCAGTATCGCTCCCCTAAGTACCAACCATGCAAAGAAGCTAACTTTTCTCTGTGGCTTGCGTGTCCAAATCGAGAGATGCGGGAAATCCTCTTTGTTCCTCACCAATAGTTTATGGTAATATGATTTGACTGAGACCTTCCTTCTATCCCGTCTCCCATCTCCACGAATCCGACATGATATGCGATGTATTCTATTTGTTTAGTAAGTCTACTAGGATTTGGAATTCCACCCATCTCCCAATCCCGTAGTTTCCTTCTAAATGTGAGATCCCTACTGCCCTCCCCTCCATCTTATATCCTTTGAATCTATTGCAATGTTATTTATGCTCTACTTGAGACTCTATATATGTTAAGAAAAGCGATTCTTAACACGTTTTCTTTACGGCACCTGTGTCCCCAAAATTGATTCTTCTTCCATCACCAACCTTGAAAGTGATGTGGTAAGTGAAGTCTCCCCAATCCTTCATAATATTCCTTTAAAGACCACACCTATATGAAACCGTGATATTCATACTTTTATATTTCTCCACTCCCCTCGATAATCCAATACTTTTCTATTATCACCTCCCTCCAAGGAGCATGCTCCTCTATCCTGAATCTCCATAACTATTTCCCAAGCAATGCATTGTTGAACACCCTGAGGTTTTTCATTCCAAATCCTCCCACTCTCTCGGGATGTGACCTTCCCATTCACTAAGTGATATTTCCCAATTTATAGGGAAAAAACAGATTCATACATGGCTGAATATATTTTTCTCCTATGAACTTGTCTTTTGGCGCTTTTTGTTATGAGATTTTCTAGCTAGTTATAGGTCTGCTACTATATTAGTTCAACCTTCTAAGGCATGTTGATCTTTTAAATCTTTTGACGAAAATTATGTTTGAATACATAGTTCCAGGAGCAACTTTCAGTTCTGAGACTTGGTCCTTGGATTCCACTTGACACTTCTCATGAATCTTGGATAATCTGTATGTTTTCTCTGCTATCATGCTTTATGTTGACATGGTTCAGCTGAAATAGAGTTACTATCTGATAACATTTGAACGAAGTTACTGAAAGTATGAGGTAATCTTGCAAGAATCGTTCCTTATGCATGTTCTTGATGCCTTTTTAATGATAACACCTTAATAATTTTTTTTTGCAAGATCTGTAATACAGCAAGGAAACATACAAGTTTTAGAATCCCCCCTATATGACGCGAGAGCGTGACTGTGCTCTAACTTAAGCTGCAATTTTCTATGTTAAAACTTGTCCCTTAAATAACTAGAAATCAGTAATTACCTTCTTAACTTTATCTTCATGAAAACATAAACCTGATATTTTTAGTAAAGAAGCGATTTGAACTTGGTGCTCAAACTTTGGAAACTTGAGTTCCAGCAGAGAGGAGTACTAATAAATGCAGGTCTTGTCACCATTGGAATTCTATAATCAGTAGCTTTGCATACGTTTGGAGTCCATACTTTCTCTAACTTAAAAGGAGTGGTGAACCAACTTAGTCTTGGAAAGATTACTACTCATAGGGGAATTTAAGTAATACTGACTGGACTGCTCAAGACTAGGAGAGAAACAAATCCTTCTAATAGTGCTAAAGATTTGCTAAACTAATACTTGTAAAGCTACAATATGCAAGTCAAAACATTCTATAATCATCAACAAATTAAGAATGTTAAAGTTAAAGACACAAGCCGTGTGAGATCAAGGTTCCATATTCTGAATTATCATCTGCTCTTCTGCACTTAAAATCAGTCAAGCTTCTACTTTTTGAAATTCTATTTATTTACTTTTACTTCTTGAGTAGAGGGAAAAAGATTAACTGAATATTAATGCTATGCAGAACTACAAAGGAGGTCAAATTACAGATAGAGAATTAGGTGATACCATATGGAAGAATTTCTTTCAGGGTAAATTGACATTTATGCACTTTAACAAAGGAGAGGAGATGGCACCAACACTCGGAGCTCAGGGCGGCACACTTCTTGTTCGGAAGATACCTTGGGTTGATCCAACGTAACTTCTCCTTTAATGCCTTATGCATGGTTTTCTCTGCCTTAGTGCTACACTTTTGCTTTGATCTGTTTTCTTTTATTAGTAGCACGTTTACTTGAAGAATCATTAACAAGCAAGGGAGAATTGTTTTACGATTAGTAATATTGTTCATTTGTTACTACTTTTATGGTTTTATGGCATTTTCAAGTGAGAAATTGGTTTTCTTGCTCATAGTTATAATAAAGGAAACTTTACAATTTAGGTTTGTAGTATTGATAGTTAGTGAGTTATTTTTCTTTATAATGGTAGTGTCGGAGCTAGTTTTCACACATCTCGATTAATCTTCCCCCTACATGTTACCTTCACCAACACAAGTACGGTGCAAGCTGGAATGGTATTCCAAATAATCTCCTTTGTTAGCTTGCAGCCTTCCCAGCAACAAAACAGTTCTTTCGGGGGTCTATGCATCACCACACTCAACTCAAATATCTGCAGAAATAGTTCTCACAGATGTCTGCAGTATAGAAATAGTTGGTCATTGTCCTCCACATTAGTTAATTGATTACTTCCTTGCTAAAGCTTTGTTACATTTGAATTTGCCAGCTACATTTTCCTACTCATGCACTTTACGGAAGGAAATGTTACTTTGTTCTGGCGTATAGACAATCAAGCTTAAAATAATTGTTGTTGCTGCTTATGTCTTCATCACCATGGTCATGCTGTTGGCCTAACTACTGACTAAAATTAGGGGTTCAATGGCATATATGATTTGGAGAGTTGTGCGATGAGTCTATTTTCCTTTTCTTCTTATCCTGGACAAATTTTATGAGCAAGGAAATCTTACCACTATAAATTGCTGTAGGGAGGTGATCACACGGCTATCTTATTGTTTATGTTCATTTTACTTTGCCTCTTTGTTTTAATAAATTAGTTGTTTCCCTTCTGGTGGAAGCGATTATGTGGATCTGTTTCTGCATATGTTCCTCTTTGCTATTGCTGACTTCATATCTGTGCTTTTCATAGGAAAGTATTTGTTGGGGATGTTGTGGTTCTCAAGGACCCTGTAAAGTCAGATGATTATCTTGTCCGTAGATTGGCTGCCGTTGAAGGCTATGAGATGGTGTCCACTGATGAAAAAGATGAGCCCTTTGTCCTTGAGAAAGATCAATGTTGGGTGCTGGCTGACAATGAAAATGTGAAACCTAAGGTATATGATCCTCGCAATAGATTGGCTTTCACCTCCAGAATAAGATATCATGCGACTGTATTCTCTCAAATCTTCTTTTGCTCAAATCGTGAACCTTGTCTTATGCGCTTCATGTTACGATTTTTGAATATTTTGCATATTGCAATATGGTATTTTATTCCAACAGTCCTATAATATGTTTGTCATATCCTTGTCTTTGGTTCAGCATCTGTTTGAGCGTCATTTACTCATGTTTTTATTATATTTTCTGTATATGTGATCTGAGTCTTGACTACTCATTCCCCGCATAATGTGGATACAGTACTTTTGCAGCAAAAATTGTGAGTATGTATCAAAGTCTGGATATGTGTTATAACTTTAGAGTTTTTTCCCCCATAACTGGAACCTTAATTTGCCAGTGGTCTTATGTATTAGTTTAAGTTTACCTTCTCTGGGGATTCTTTTAAGGTGATTGCATAGAGTGAGTAGTGAATCTGAACAAACCTATAATGAGATGTGTGTATTTCAGCTAAAACTTCAGCATTTTCAATGAGAAACTCTTTGAAGTATGGTGAAGATGTAAGTTTATTAAATGAAATAAACTTCTGATGAAGAGTTGAGCTAAGTTTTCAGTTTTTCCGTGGCTGCAGATTAAAATAGGACTTTTGACTTGCCCCCAGGGCTTTGGTCTAGTGGTAAGAGCGCAACTCGTGATGTGTGGGTTAGGCGCATGTCACGGGTTCGAACCCTGCTGCAGACAGAAGCCTGGTATTTAAGTGGAGAAGGGTAGAGGGGTGGGTCCATTAACCACCGGTTTCAACTCATGCGCCTCTGGACCCTTAGGAATTTCTGGGTTATCCCAACAAACAAAAAAACAGGACTGTCTTTTGAGTATATGGTACTGTATTATTCATATTATATTCATAGTTGAGCTTGCTTCCTCATGCTTTGAGGGAAGGATAGCAACTGCGCAGATATTATTGTTATATTAATATTGATTGACTCTAGATTATTTTCTTGTCTTCTCAATAGCAGGAAGCCAAGGATAGCAGAACTTTTGGCCCTGTTTCCTTGACGGACATAGTTGGCAGAGCTATATATTGCCTGAGGACAGCAGTGGACCATGGTCCTGTTAACAACAGGTTTGTTGTGTTATTGCATATTTGTTTTTCTTGTGCATCGGAAAAAAACCTACCTTATGATTGTGGTTAATCTGTGTCTTGCTTTATCAGTCACTTTAGCGTCCAGAAGGATTCACCAGTCCTTGAAGTTGAACTGGATGTTGATGAGATGGCACGAAGTCACAAAGCATAGGTTGTGTGCGCTCTTTGAGGAAAAGATTTCCTAGGATTACTGATTTGGTTGTACCCTCTTTTTCTTGTTTCCTCTTTTTTATCCGAGCGAAATCCATTGGAAAAAATAAAGTTGTGTATTAGCGATTTTGGTACATTTTCCTTCAACCAGATGCTGTCAATCCCAAGTGTTGATCCTTCCTCTCAATGTGGCACCGAACGAACTGTAAACCTTTGAGGTCTTCAGTTCTATTTAGAACGTATTTCAAGGCTGAAACTGTACTATGGATGGAAGTTTGGATAAGATTTTCAATATTTCGTCCAGGTTGTGGCCAATTGACAAAGAAGACTATTTATTGCAGTAGCTTGAACATTCCTTTCACAGACCCATTATCCACAGTACACTAATACAGCACGACTCGGTTACAATACACTGTAACTTTGGTTTTATAGTAGCACTTTCTTGAACAGTTTTTGATAGACTTTTTGTATTTTGTTTTGACTTGTCCCTTAGGGGACATCCAATAAAATTGGGACGATAGCGAAGGATGACCATTAGTGTGCTTTTACTTAACTAGGTCATGTTTCTATTGCACAAAAGGTGGCCTAGTAGGCAATGAATGGCCTAGTAGGCAATGAAATGAAGTGGGTGCTAAGCAAGTCAAAAACGAAACTTTGATAATACTAAGAATTTTGAGAAGAAAATCTGCTTATTATAAACGACTTACTGAATGGCGTGTGCCTGTGCTTATTTTCGAAGTTGTCGTTTTCTCTGTTATTTTGATTGTTCAATTTTTTTTAATTGTTATTATTTCGCTTGTACTAAGGCTGTATAGATGCCTCCAAATTGATGTCGTATTCAGAATATAGCTCACCACTAAAAATACTGTAAAATGGTAAATGTGACCACTAAAAATACTGTAAAATGGTAAATGTGACTACCTTTGACATTAACAGTGATAGGGAAACGGTCAAATTTATTTCTCTATTTTGGTGTATTGTTCATTTCTACGCTCTGTTATACTATAGGGTCACATCTACCCTTACCGTTCACCAAATTTTTTTAAAATGCCCTCCACCTAACAAAATGGCACTAGATTAAAAAAGTAACCCCCTTTAAAAAAAAACATGTAACCCATAACCGATTAAATCTATCATATAAAAATAAGGAACTTAAATTTCTTAGACGTCTTAACACATTTTATTTATTTAGAGAGACCCCAAAAGATGGTGGCAGTAGGATTAGTAAAAAATCTTATTTTTGGTTCTTATTAGTTGTTCGTGGTGGTATTAGGATGTTATGTTATCATTTTTTGTTGTATTTTTTTGTGGTTATAATATGGAATCCTTTGTCTAATGTAATGTACACATGACAGTTGGTTTGTGTGTTGATAAGTGATAACATCTTATATTGGTTAATAAATGTAGTTAGTATACTTTTATTGTTAAGTTACTCTCCAGCTTGTTGATAATTTTTTCCATTACTGATGAATTTCTTAGACTGTAGCTTGATATTAAATTGAATCTCCTCTAATTATTTTTTATTTTTGTTCATTATTCGGTTGTTACTAAGAGCTATGAGTATCCCATCCCACAACTTAGAATCTAGCTTTGGTTAGACGATGATTACTCATTGCCTAAATTCTTAAAACAGCATAAGAAAATCAAGGTGCGTGAATACTCATCAACAAAGGCTCACTGTTGGAGGAAGAAACACCTTGGTAGTTGTCTTAAGACTTCAAAACTGATGCTATAAACATTTAGGTCATGGTGGAAAGAAAATTGAACACTTGGTACAATTCGGAATGGTGGAAAGAAACAAATGGAGAAGCCAGGGAAAAAAAAATGTGAAAAGGTAGAATTTAATAAACATAGAATAAAGATATTAAAAGAATTGGGACTCAATATAAAAATAAATATATGGTTGTTAGTAATTTTTATGTCTTTCACTTTTGGAGTTTAACAAGTGACTAGGAAGGAGATGGCTAATTTGTGAGGAAGAAGCACAGTAAACAAAAGGGGTTTAACAGGTTATGAGTTTTCTTTTTATAAAAAGCTAATCGTTTTTTGATCTAGTGGCTTTCCGGTAGCCGAAGGGTATTTTTAAAAAATTTAATTAACGATAAGGGTAGATATAGTCACATAGTATAACAGGGAGTAGATGTGAACAATATATCAAAGTAAAGGGATAAACTTGGTCATTTTTCTCACTTTGTAATGAGTTCCGTTTAAGTCAAGGGACGACATCACTGCCTTTAGTGTACCATCTCAAAGTGAAAAAAAAAATGCATCTATCTTTTATTCTTCGAAATTACATATTTTTGTTTAGCACCATTCTTAAAGTTATCTTTTATTAATCTACTTGTACAATTGATTACACCCTTAAAAGAAGAAAAGATGGAAAAAAGATGAAGAGACCTAAGACTGTAAGAAACCGAAATGTGAGGGGGGGTAAAGTGATACATACAAAACCAAACGGGCTGCGATTGACTAGATTTGGAAATTACTCGATATTCCCCTTCTGGCCCCCACGAAAATGGTCAATATATCTAAAACCTCTCCTTATCAGGGAGCGATATATAAAAGGCAACAGAAGCTAAAGCTAGTATAGAGCCGAACAACGAAAATGCGAAAGTGTGATTGAGACTGAAGATTCTTTCCTATGTTTTCTCAAGTTCCAAAAATGTCAAGCGCCATTGATTTCACTCCCAAGAATCTTCCAGGTAAATATGTGTTTTCCATCTTCTTTTTCCCGTTTATGATATCCCATTCGTGCGTATAAGGTGTTTGATGAAATGCATGTGTTAACAAGTGGAGGTCTTTTTGATTAGTGTGCTTCTTATTAATGCCCTAGCTATGTCCAAATACTGACCAGTTTACCACCGGACCGTGTGGTGAATGGTTGAGATACCTCCACGCTTAACATCGAGCTTGGGAGTGGAGAACTTTTTGGTAGGAGGTTTTGCCCTTAGTTGGGCTTACCTGACGCGAATCTGGATTAGTTCCAGCTGGTTAAACTTTTTTTTAAAAAGGAACGCCAACCGTAACCGGTTTAATTAGGGCAAGTCCTTAATAGCCACTACAGAAAATAACTCTGTTTCAATACAAAACTAGTGGGTTCGGCTATTTGAATCCTCTATATCCATTTTGCTCTAGTTGGACGCGTTCATTCTGATACTCAGTAATAAGGAAAAATTTAGTGCTGTTTATTGTTGAGGCTATTGATAAATAAATGAGCAAGAAGTCCTTGTCACGGGTTCCTATGTCAATGCAGTTTACCATTGGCTGCAATTGATTAAGCTAAAGTGGTTCAGCTTCGTTTGAACAGTGTAAGCAGTGGTTTAATTTACATCTTTCATGAAATATTTGAAAATGTGAATAACTTTCTGGGTGGTGTGGCGTGGCGTGTTGGGGGTGTGTGAGGTAGCAAATGTGCAGAATTATTGGCATGTATAGCAAATTATTGGCTCTTCTTGAAGTAAAGTTTTTTGAGCCGAGGATCTTTCGGAAACAGCCTCTCTAAGGTCTGCGTACACACTACCCTCCCCAGACCCCACTTGTGGGACTACACTGGGTCATTGTTGTTGTTGTTGTTGTTGTCTTGAAGTAAACTTTTCCTTTAAAACTCCACAAGCTCCTATCTAGTGGAACTTATATTTTCTTCAGATCTTTTTTAGCTTTTAGATTTTCCAACTTCCCTTGAAGTTCACACATCAGCTTGGTCATCTAAACATAACTGAAGGAAAGATTATAGGTGTGCCTGGCCATGCCAAGATCTCTTCCAACCTCATTTTCTTTCCACAAGGTGCTAACAGTAGCACAGATGTTCTCTTGTTCACAATATATTTCTTTATGCCCCATTTTTGTTGTCTCTCTGCTCTTTCTGGAACTCTTTGCCCCTCTCACTTTAGTGTATGAATTATATTCATCGTGGGTATCGAGATATGATTACTTCAGGGTTATTTTCATTTCAATCGTCATTGTCGTTATTTTTGCTACTACTGATCCTTTTAGTCAAAAACAGTAAATATCATTTAGAATGTAAATGCTTCTTATGGAAATAGAATTAAAGACCTTTTCAATTCTTCTTGATAGATAGTTGTTGGACATTTATAGATAAAATGTTAAGCATATGAACGAATCTGATATAACATTGTACATATATCCCAAAGAATGCTCTTTAAACGGTAAATGAAAACTCTTACTTGGAAAAAGATGTGAAATAAAGTATCTGTTGAGAATTGAGATTATGTATCTTATTTCCTATGCAGCTATGATTCTTTACTTAGTCACCCTTCCATATGAAGGGCAAGATAAGTTTTAAATTTCTGCTAATGTGAATGCATCTGCCATGACCTACAACATGCTGATTATTCCGTCAACAAAAAAATATAGCTATTTTTGAAACATCCTCTAATGCATAATCTGAGTCTTTCTTAACTCAAAAAACAAAAATCTGTGTCTTTCTTATCCATAAAGTCCTATATAAAGACTTATAAGATATATGCTATTATTGTTCTGTTTCAGGGTTTGGTTTCCCAGAAGGTAGTTGTCTTCCCTGCTCAGGACTATCAGGGAGAGCAGTCACCTCTTGCGGTGAATATAAGCACTTCTCGAAGGTTAAGATTTTAAATTTGAAATCTCCTTACAAGAGTACATCTTATATATGTAATGCTAGCTTCAACAATCATAAAAGAAATCCAGATTTTTCGAGGCAAAACAAGTTTTCCAGGGGCAGGAACAGGCAAAATGAAGAGAGAGACAGTTATGATAATTTAGAAGAATCTGAAATGCTATCTTCACGAAATGGACCACTGCTTACTGCATCAAACACTTCAAAATTCCAAGCTACAGCCACTCCAGGTCCAAGGGAAAGGGAGATTGTTGAACTATTCAGAAAGGTCCAGGCTCAGCTCCGGGAAAGAGCTGCAATCAAAGAGGAGAAAAAATCTGAAGAGTTGCAAGGAAAGGGTAAAGAGAGTGAAACTGTTGATTCCCTTCTCAAGCTTTTAAGAAAACACTCAGTTCAGAAAGGGAAGAAAACCAACAGCAGTAGAAGCAGCAACTTTGTCCTTGACCAGCCAGATCAGAGCAATGTATTCTCTGAAGAGAGAGCTGGCAATAGCACTGAACTAAATAGCAATGTGAACCATGTGGCACAAGATAGTGGGACCCCAGTTGTTAACCGTCCGAAGTCAAACTTCCGACGTAGATCTCCAGTTTCCCGAACCAAATTTCAGCCTTTTTATCACGAGGGAGGTACGGATAACCTTGTTGTCTCTACTGCTACAGATAAGACAGAGAAGGACATACATCTGGACCCTGAACTTGGCCGAATTCCCAAAAATAAGGTTGATTCTAGTGCTCATTCTGACATTGAGCCGATTTTCTCAGATGAAGATGTGTTTGATGAGATGGCTGACGATGATGCTGCCAAAATGTTTGAAAATGTTGATGCTAATGACAATGATGAACAACATCAGGTTGGTGAGGAATTAGCTGAAATGAAGCTGACTGAACTGCGAGCTATTGCAAAGTCTCGTGGTTTG